ATGAGCTGTGGAGGTACAATGAGGGGACGCACGTGAAGAGCTCAGGGAAGCCATGAGCACAGAGCGGGCATTCGGAGAGCTGGTCATGGCTACCGTTGAGACAGGGCTGGTGGTTAGTCTGGCATCGAGAGAGGCTTCACTTCCAAGGTCTATCCTCACATCGCAGCTTATCATGCCATGGGGTTCCCTACTGTGTTTGTCAGCTTTCTGTCACTGTAACAAATATCTGAGGTAAGTTGGCTTATTTAAAAAAAAAAAAAGGAGTGGGGTTTGGCTCACAGTTTTGGAGCCACCAGATTATGATTCATGAACACCATTGCTTTGGGCTTGTGGAAGCCCATCATGGTGGCTCCTGGGGGAGCAAGACTGCAGGCTCACAACCAGGAAGTGAGAGAGAAAGAAGAAGATGAGGTCCCAATATTTAAGAGCTCGCTCCACTAGGCCCCAGTTCTTAAAGTCCCCTCCAGAGTCCAATAGCACCAAGCTGGGGACCAGGCCTTTATCCTATGGGCCTTTAGGGGACATGTAAGATTCAAACTGTAGCAATTAATCATGGAATTTCTTTTGATTTTTTTCCTTCTTAATAGTGGTCAAATACACATACCATAAAATTGACCTTTTTTAAACGTATATTTTAGTAGCATTCAGTACCTTGACACTGTGGCACAAACATCACCACCACCCATCCAGAGAATTCTCATCCTGCAAAACTGAAACTCTGTACCACATTAAACTCTTCCTTCCAATCCCCACTCCCCTCAGTGCCTGGGGAGCACTCTGCTTTCTATGAATTCAGCCCCTCTTAGTCCCTCATATAAGTTGATCCATACAGTATTTGTCTTTCGGTAACTGGCATTTTTCCCTTTAGCATGTCCTTAAGGTCCACCCATATGGTACCATGTGTCAGAATTTCCTTCCTTTGTAAGACTGAATGATTCTCCATAGCATGGACAGGCCACATCTTATTTACCTTTCGTCCATCAGTGGACACATACATAGYTTCTACCTCTTAGCTACTGTGAATACCACCACTGTGAACATGGGTATGCGAATATCTCTGTAAGTCTCTATTTTCAGTTATTTGGGGTGTGTACCTAGGATTTGGACTTGCAAATTAACTTTTTAAGGAATTGCCATACTGTTTTCCACAGCATCTGCACCCCTTTACATTCCTACCAGCCATGCACAAGAGTTCCAGTTCCATCTCATTCTTGCCAAACTTGTTATTTCCTGGGATTTTTTTGTTGGTGGTGTGTTTTTTTTTTTAATTTTTTAGTTTTAGGTGGACACAATATCTTTATTTTATTTTTACGTGGTGCTGAGAATCGAACCCAGTGCCTCACGCATGCTAGGCGAGCGTGCTAACCACTTGAGCCACACCCCCAGCCCCTGTTGGTAGTGTTTTTAATAATAGTTATCCTAATGGATACGAGGTGATACGTGCTCTGGGTTTTTTAATCATCTCATTTTTGCAGATATTATTTACAATTTGGATCATGTATATTTATAGTTTGTTATTTATAATTCATCATCATTCATTGATTTTTATCTGTTTCACTCCCAAAACATCCAGCATTCCAAATCAGAAGCATGACTTGTCCCAAGTTACGCCCATGACTGCACCTCGCACTCCCAAAGGGCTCAACAGCCGAGCAGGGAAATGTACCAGATAAAGCTTTGAAGTGACAGCCCCCGGGCCCCAGCCCTCAGTGAGACTGTGACCTAGAGCAGGTCACTTCCCTCCTGGGCTATTTCCTGTCCCTAGAAACAGGAACACTACCAACACCTTAACTCCTTTGCAGAGTTGGAGTCCTGGAGCTAATAAGGCTCTTGGAATTTTTACAGCAAGAGCGAAACCTCTGAGCTTGTCAGGATAAAAAATGCAGAAAGAGAAAAGGGGAGGGTGCACGCTTCTTAGTAACGCGTGTAGGCGATTTCAGAGCTCAAGTTCATGGAAACAAATTGAATTACGGAGGAGGCAGCGCTTGCTATTTGTAACCATGGATTGTTTGAAATCCTTTTAGAGGAAAATTAAAATATTTCACAGAGGGTAATAAAATGTTGGGTGTTTTGCAGGCATGACTGCTCAGCTCTCTTGGGCAAATAAGTAATTAGGCATTTTTATTTAAGTCCTTGGAGTCGTCATTTTCTTTCATTAGTGGAGAGGGGAGAAAAAAAAAACGGTTGTGGAACATACATAAAACTCTGGAAATCACCAGAAAGTTAATTATAAAATTGTATTTTATATATATTACACTAGAGCCTAACAACATATTGTGGAAACAAAAAAGAAGCTCTTAGAATTTATTTTCCTAATGCCAGAAATGGGAAGTCATATCAAAGATTTCTCTGCTTCCAAGTGAAATCTCATCATGGAGCATAGAGAGGGCAACTCTGCAAGGTGCTTGATGCTGAGACATAGGTTAATGTGGTCATGGGACCTGGGAAGATGTTCTGAGCCTTGTCCCCTTCCCTGGTCCCCAGATCATCTGCTGACGGACCTTCTCCCCTCCACCATCCTTCACCAAAGTCTACTTTAAGGAAAGCTTTGATTTCTCTCTCGGAAACCATCTGCTCCTACCCATTCCATTTCACAGATGGAGAAACTGAGAACATGGTTAGGTTCTAAGTCTCTTTCCTTCCTGGGTCTCAGGCCCACTGTGTGTGTCAATAATTGTGTCTCCATGTGACTGGGACCTGCCTCCTGGGCCTGAACCTTAACTGCAGAAGGGGAGAATAGGCCCAGGACATAACTGACTATGGAGGGTCCCTACAAAGCTCGCATCTTCTTGAATCCCTGTTCTTCCTGCCCACCCTGCTCTTTTGAGCAATCTCAAGGAAGCTGAGGACCAGGATGCAAGGCCGATCTGAGACCCATGAAATGTCACTACTGGGACGGAGGAGGACAGGCATGTTTCTTGCTATTTGTCCCTCTTTAATAGCTCTCTGGTTTTGATTTTTTATCTCTGGTGGCTTTTCCTGCTCCCCAAGCCACCTCCACCTGAGTGACTGCATATTAATGTCAAGTGCTTTCTGTGCACATGTGTGGGGGAACCCAAGGGAGTGGATCATACCTGCAGATCTTCCCTTCCCACCGTGAGGGGCTAGTGCCCCCTTAGTGCCCCTGTGGAGCATCTTGCCTTGACCTGCAAACGTGCATCTTGCCCAGAAGACTGGGCTGCCTTGAGCCATTCAAGCAGTTGGCAAGCACCTACTGTGTGCTGGGCTCTGCAGTACCCCTGAGAACCCAGAGAGGAATAGAACACAAGAGATAGAGCCCCAGAGGCAATCTTCAAATACAAGATGTTTGAGTTGATCCTTAAAACATGAGTGGGACTGTGCCCAGCAGGAAAGAGAGAAGGACCCACTCAGAACAGAAGTGGAGGCCGAAATCAGGTGAGGGTAAGGGTGCTGGGGGAGAGAGGCAGCCCTGGTTTTACTGAGAATCTCTGCAGCAGATGTTGCTGGCACAGCAACAACGTAGCAAGTGCTAAAGAACGAGCGAGAAGAAAAAAGGGAGGGACCAAAAGGGATAAGTCAATCAATCGCACCCTATTCATAGAATGAAATCTACGCCACAGGTTAAAAAGAACAAACTAGAACCAAAACACATAGAATCTCACGAATGGAATGTGGAGTGAGTAGAGCAAGTTACAGAAGAATGTGTACAGTCCCCGGGTCTGAAATGCTCAACGTGCAAAAGAGTCCTACCCGGATAGACATTAGGTTAAATGGCCTCATGCAATTGCCACCTTTGGGCCATTTTTGACATGCACAACTAGCCATTTCATTTGGCTCAACCTGAGTCGAAATCACAAGAGATGGCCCATCCATCCACACGGTGGGACACTACTTAGCTGATGAAGAGAATAAATCATGGCCACATGGAACAGCTTGTCTGGATCTCAAGGAGATTATGCTGAGTGGACAAAGCCAATCTCCCAAATTAACCTACTGTGCGACTCCCTGTATCAATGCCTCCAATGACAGAAGCAGGCTGGTGGAGTAACTCAGTGGTAGCACACCTGCTTAGCATGCCCGGGACCCCGAGTTCACTTCCTAGCACCACAATAAGGGGGGGATAACGAAAGGGTAGAGATAGATGATTGATGGCCAGGGCCAGGGAGGAGTTGACTGTGGCCACCAGGGAGTAGCAGGGGGCCCCTTGGGGTGAACTGTCCTGTATCTTGACACTGGTGGTAATCATGGGAATTCAGGCATGATGCCATTGTGAAGAACTAAATGCACACGTGCACACACAGTGGAAGTGAAGCTGGTGAGATCTGAATAAGGCCAGTTTGATGGTGTTTGTGACATTGTACTTTGATGAAGCAAGAAGTTAACTTTGGGGGAAATTGGACAAAGGGGATATATGAGAGCTCTCTGTATTATTTCTTACTGCATGTGAATCCACAGTTATCTAAGAATAACACATACATGGCAACGACTAAAGCCAAATTTAACATAAAAGTTAATTCTGGGTCCAGGGTGAAGTGAGCAGATGAGAAGAGATACACAGAGGGGATTCAACTTTTCTTTGACATGTTTTGCTTCTTAAAAAAGAAAATTTGGGGGCTGGGGTTGTGGCTCAGCAGTAGAGCGCTCGCCTAGCACTTGCGAGGCCCTGGGTTCGATCCTCAGCACCACATAAGAATAAATAAATAAAATAAAGGTATTGTGTCCAACTACAACTAAAAAATAAATATTAAAAAAAAAGAAAATTTTGAAGCAAATATGGCATAATGTCAAGATTCTACAAAGTAGGGTGGTAGGTACACAACTGTTTCTATCATTATCTTCTTTTATGCTTGAAATAATTCATAGTTGTTTGAAATAATCTATAATTATTAAAAGATGTCTTGCTTCATGATTTGCATCTGGAGTCAGGACTCCATCTGGGATGCAGTGGCTTACGTCCCAGGCCAGATGCAAAGGGTGGACCCAGGGCTCCCCGGGGGCGGGCCCTGCCCTGTATGAGCCGCACCTGCCTCTCTCCACAGCCCCCGGAGAAGGAGGGTGGCCTGCCTCGGCAGGTGGGTAACAAAACAGAATGCGGTCTGCTGGGCTTTGTGCTGGATCTGAAGCAGGACTATGAGCCTGTGCGCAGCCAGATGCCGGAGGAGAAGCTGTATAAGGTGTACACCTTCAACTCCGTGCGCAAGTCCATGAGCACCGTCATCAAGATGCCCGACGAGAGCTTCCGCATGTACAGCAAGGGTGCTTCTGAGATTGTGCTCAAAAAGTAAGTGGCCAACAGGGCGCCGGCTGAGGGCCAAGCTGGAGGAGGGGGTTGGGGGCCTCTGGACCATGCAATGCTGGCATCGTCCATGCTGGACCTAGCAGCACCCCTGGACTGGAGAGTCCATCTAGCACCAGGTCACACAGCAAGACTCACCCCTTGCCCACCACTTTTTTAACTATATCCTCTTAAAAATTTCTACAGATAAGAGTCTTCCCTGCCTTCTGAGAGACTGGATCCTCAGGACGTTCTACCCACAGTCACACTTAATTTTGCTTCCCTTCTCATAGGGCTGGTTGGTGGTAGTTACTTGGTTTTCATCAGGCAAGTTCCTCTGACTGTGCGCCAGAGATAAACCTGGGGAGCTAAGCAGGTCACTGTCCTCTGTGGGCCTCAGTTTCCTGGCTCGTAGGTTGAAGGGATTGATCTAGCCCGATGGTTCTCAGCGCCAGCAGCCCCATGCAAATCACCCCAGGGAGATTTTTTAAAAAACCATTGATCATTGGACTTACCCCAGATAACTTGAATTGGAGACCCGAGGGCAGGATGCACACGTGGGTATTTGTTAAATGCTCTCCCCAGTTGATCCTAGTATACAAGTGGGGCCAAAAACTACTAGCCAAGGTTTGATGGCCTTTGGAAACCATTTTTTTAATTTTTCAAATGAAACCTTGTAGATAACACATATAACTGACCAAAGCAGGGTTGCTCTTGCTGAATGGCCCTGGGCAGATATTTTAAGGTCACCTGGTTTTACCCTACCTCAGACCTGGGCGCTGGTGGGTGCACCTAGTCCTGAGGCATTATGGGAGATGGACCCGGTGGGCCTTGCCTGAACTCTGTGGCCAGTTGGACATCCCCAGTGGGCAGGGGAACACCCCTTAGGCCCTTGGCTGGGCTTTATTCACCTGCCTTTCACTCTCCCCCAGGTGCTGCAAAATCCTCAGTGGGGCAGGTGAGCCCCGGGTCTTCCGGCCCCGAGACAGGGACGAGATGGTGAAGAAGGTGATCGAGCCCATGGCCTGCGACGGGCTCCGCACCATCTGTGTGGCCTACCGTGACTTCCCCAGCAGCCCCGAGCCCGACTGGGACAACGAGAATGACATCCTCAATGACCTCACCTGCATCTGTGTGGTGGGCATCGAGGACCCCGTTCGGCCTGAGGTAAGGCCCTGGTGCTCTGCTGCGGGGCCTGTCCTCCCTGCCGCCAGGTGCTCTTCCCTCTACCCCCCTCCCCAGGGACAGGTGTGGGGAGTTCCCTGCCTTAGAAGCCTTTTACCTCACAGGAACCAGGAGCTCTGGTAACAAGCCCCTAGGCCCAGGTTCCAGGCCTGGGCAAAGGACACACCCAATGACAAGGGCCGTTGCTCTCAGGAGAACACCAAGTGCCGTGTCCCCATCAGTACTTCCACTTCCCTCTGTCCAGGTGCAGTTTAGCAATCACCATCCCCTGGCCAGCTTGCCTGGTAACACCTCTGACATTCAGAGGAACAGAGCTCGCACAAGTCACGGTGTCATGTAATTCTCGGGACTTCCAGGAGCCAAATCCGATGCAATCACACAAGAGTCTTTATTGCAAGCTCGAGCCTGGACTCACAGTGGTCCCAGGGAGTGAGCCCCGGTCCTTTGTTCAGTGAGATCTTATAGGTTTTGGGGGATACTCTATGGGTCACAACATCACACAGCAAATCATTCCACACCGCGGGAAAGTCCAACAACAACTCTTAACACTGATTAGCGCATTCCCTGGCAGGAACAAGTTGGGTAGGGGTGATTGGTTAGTACAAGAGGGGGACTCGTTTGAACTGATTGGTTTAAGCCATGAGGGGTGTATGTCTAAACTACAGGGTTTCCCAACATGTTATCAACCACCATAAACTACTGGGGGGGTCATCTGGCATCCCAGGTATTTTCCCTGTCTCATGCTGATTGGTGGTTGCTAGGGGGTTGCTATGGGTCCTCACCTAGCCTGACTGAGTCAGGGACACTTGGCTCTGCAGATCTCTCCTGTTATTTGCAGACAAACAACTCAGCAGGGTGGGTATGTGCCTAGGAGTGCTCTGTGGGTTTTTCCAAGGACAAGGGCCACGCCCCCTTCCTTGGACAGGCTTTGCTCTGAGGTTGAGGCTGGTTTCTCAAAAATGGAGTCCCATCAGTTTCTCAGTGTCAGGTCACAGTCTCCAGCAAGTGGGCGGGGGCGACAGCACCTTCCTCACATGGATGGAGGAGGTGATTGTGGGAGAGCCCCTAACAGGTACTCAGCACACAGTAGGTCTTCAGTCTCCTTTAGCTGAGTCTGCATCCTGCAGGGAGAAGGACAAGAATCCTGAGCTGGAGCGTGGCGGGAGGAAGGGAGGAGGATGGACTGCCCAGTGTGGAGTGTGCCAGCAGGGACGGCCTCCGTGTCCCCTCCTGCCCTGACACCATGGTCTGGCCAGTCCCTGTTCTCTCAGAGCCTCAGTTTCCCCTCTTTAAAGGGAAACAGGGTAGAATTTTTGTCCTCCAAGTTCTTGGGCCTGATGCCGTAAGATTCTACATTCCACTCAGGCATCAGGGAGAAGAATCAAAGAGTGAATGAATTCTGGCATGGGACGGACCAGGGAGTGCCAGAATTGCTGGCTGTGAGGCATTGGGCCAGTTACATAAGCTCTCTGATTCTTATCTGCAGACTTCGGATAATAATACCCTCCCCCACGTACACACACACACACACACACACACACACGCACACACACACACACGCACACACACACGCACGCACGCACGCACGCATGCATGCACATCCTGGGATATTGTGAAGGGTCTGATCGTACCATTTTGAATGAACAAAAGCAGAGTGTCTGGCATGAGGTAGATGGCCCCAAAACGAAGGTCCCCTTTCTTCCCCCCTTCCCCATAGATTCTGGATCCAATGACACATTGTGTCCCCTAACCCACAGCTGAGCCTTCAGGAGGTGCTCGATAAAGATTTGTAGAATGAATGGACTTGAACCCCAGTCTTCCAACACCGTATCTAGTGCTCAGGTCTCTCTCTCTCTCTCTCTCTCTCTCTCTCTCTCTCTCTCTCTCTCTCCCCCCCCCCCYCTTGTCACACACACAACTGGGTCTCACTGTGGCCCCCTCATCCTACCCCGATCCTAAAACAGCAAAGACAGTCAGCACCCAGGAGCTTGGCGCTTGGCACCAGAGCCCGCGTGTGTTTTTCTGTAGACCGCAGCCCTCCCGGGTACACAGGCCATTTATCAGCTCCCCCAGGGGACGCCTGCTCATTACCAACCGCTAATGGGCTCAGGCCTCACGGCGATGCATTACCTCCTTACTGGAAATTTCTCAGAACAGGCAGCAGTGGCTTGTCCCCTGCAGAAGGAGGCGGGCCTAACCACGCCCTGGGGACTCCCTTGTCCTTGCTTTCTAGAGCCTCCTCCACCCCTCCGTGAGCTCCTGGCTCATCACCACGCCTCCGAAACACCTCTGAGGTGGGCTGGGAAAGAGAATCCGGTGCAAACATTTTTTTGGCCCTGACCCAAAATAAGAAGAAATGGATTTTATGTCATGACTCAAGTCAGCACACACGCTTAACCAACCCAAGAATTTCACAAAGTAATGCCATGTAGTGCGGAATTTTCTGTCCTTCCTTCTTTTTGTTAATGCCAATCAACACCCACTGCCTTCACAGTCACTCAAGAGGCGTGGCTAGAGGTTTGAACCCTCATCTCACCCAGATAGCTTCCTCACATCCCAGTTTGCAGATGGAAACACAGAGGGACGGGGATGTCCCCAAAGACTCCCTGTAAGAGGCTGAGCAAGTCCCGATTAGGGCAGGTTTCTGCCTTTCTGCCCCAGGGCCTTTGCCTAGATGCCACAAAACAGAAGGGGCAAGTCATTCTGTGTCAGGAGGTTGAGGAAAGACTCCCCACACCCAGGGCCTGAGAGGAGCAAAGCTGGGTCCCTGGCATTTGCTGTTGACAGCAGGGTCATCCAGAGTAAGTGGCTTCAGATGCAGACTTGGAAAGGACCTGGATGCCAGCCCCAACTTTACCACCAATAAGCCACTGGCCCTCTCTCTGTGCCTCTATCTTCTCATCTGCTCATCCTTCCTTCCATCAGAGAATCCATCTTGACCCTCTCCCGTGCCCCAAAGGCCTGCCCTCAAGACATAATCTGAATTTAACAGCAGTGGCCTGGCAGAGTCAGAGGATGTGGGCTCTGATTCTGCTCCTGCCACTCCTTCTAGGTGGCCTCAGGTGCATCCCCTTTAGCCTCGGTCTCCTCATCTGAAAAACAAGACACGTCAACGGTCTGATGTTCACGACTCAGGGACATGGCAGGGCTGCTGGGGACGCTACCTGAAAGCATAAAAGCTCAGACCTGCTGATTTGCGTCTCCCCCTGGGGRGCGTGGGATGGATGCAGGCCCCCAGGAGCCCAGTGGATACAGTTGTCTTACTGATTTGCTTTTTTAGGATAGGTGATTTGTGTGCATGGAACCAAATTCAAAAAGTACAGAAGTGTGAAATAACCCTACCGCCATGCTAGTCCCCAATTCCCACCTCCACAGCAGCACTGTCACCGGTTTTGTGAGTGACCCTCTGGGAGCATCCATGCCTATGGTGGGTGCATTTCTGCAAACTCTGCCGAGCTCTGTTCACCCTGCCCTGAGTCTCCTGGGCGAATACCCTGCTTAGTGCCTCCAGCCTGCCGAGGCCCAGAAAGGAGGATGGCCTCCACCTGGGCCACCTCTAGGGTCCTTAGACATGCTAGGGTTCATTTTGCCATAGCAGGAAGATAATTTATGCCCCCCTTGGTTTCCCCAGCTGTCAGTGGGGTGAATCTCCACACTGCCTTCCCCCCTGGAGACCACCAAAGGCAAGAATCAGTTAAAAACATATTTGCCAAAACTCCCACCCTGAGACGTTGCTGAGGCTGACGGAAGCCAACATCAATGAAGCCATCAGGAGAATGGCGGTCTSGGACTTGCCGGGTTATCCGGGGGTGTTTGGAGCCCTTAGAGTCACAGACAACGGCTGTCACCAGAAACAACAGATGTTTAAAAGCCTTTATTTAATGAAAACAGGAAGCGCCCATTTCCTGACTGTTTTTCCTCAGTGAGAAATATCTAGGATAATTTTAGCAAAAGAAGCCTTTTTTTAAAAAAAAATTAACAGCAATTTTATTTATGTGGAAAGCATATTTCAACCAGATCAATGCCTCTGGGGTTTCAGTCTTAATCATCTCTGCATCTTTAGTGCCTTGAACAGGATGTTCAATAACAGTTCATTGAATGAACAAATGTCTGAGTGATAGAAGAAACTACTGAGAATAGTTTAAGGAAATATCCCACTGGATTGGAAGAATTCAGAATGGCTTCATGAGCTGAAAGCATTTTACATGTAAGATGGGTAAGATACGACACACAGAGATTGAGGGAAGGCAGAAGGAACAGAATGGGCAAAGGCAGGGAGATGGAAAAGGATTCTGTATTAGTCAGATTTCTGTTACTATAACAGAATGCTTGAGATGAATCAACTTGTAAAGAAGAAAGGTTTGTTTGAGTTCACAGTTTTGGAGGTTTCAGCCCATGGTTGTTTGGGCCCCATTGTTTTTTGGCCCATGTTGAGGCAACACATTATGGTGGGAATACATGGCAGAGCAAAGCATTTCACATCACAGCTTAGAAGCAAAAGAGAAAGAAGAAGAGACCTAGATTCCATAGTCCCCTTCCAGGGCACACCCCTTGTAACCTAAGACCTCCCACCCTTTAGAGGTTCCACCACCTCCCGATAGCACCATAGTCTAGGGACCAAGCCTTGAACACACAGGCCTTTGGAGGATGTTCAAGATCTAAACTATAGTAGATGCTAAGTGTTTTATTCATCAGTTTGCCAGGGCTGCCATGGCAAAGTACAGATAGCCCCCAACCTAACGATAATTAGATTTTGAATTTTTTTGACTCCACAARGGTGTGAAAGCAATACTCATTCCATGGAAACTGTACTTGGAATTTCAAATCTGGATCTTTTTCCAGACTAGCAAAATGGGGCAGAAAAACCTCTTGATGCTGGGCAGGGCAGTGAGCCACGGCTGCCTGTCAGCCCATGATCACGAGGGGGAACAACCCATGATACTTGATGTTCATCTTGGCTGTTCGGTAGGTTAGGTCTATTTGGTGCATTTTTTACTTTTGATATTTTCAACTTAACGGTGGGTTTATCAGGACTGAACTCTGTTGAACAGCAGGTAAACCACAAACTGAGCAGCTCAAACAGTGGAAATTTGTCTCACAGCTGTGGAGGCTGAAGCCCAAGATCCAGGAGTGGGCAGGGCCTGCTCTAGACCACTCTCCTAGCTTCTAGAGGTTTGCTGGACCGTCTCTGTTGTTCTTTGGCATGCCTTCTCCCTCCCCTGACATCTCCTTTTGTGCATGTCTTTGCATCCAAATTTCCTCTGTGCCTAAGGACCCGATTATACTGGATGAGGACTTTTTCTGAGAACCTCATCTTTGTGTAATTACCTTCATAAAGACCCTTTCTTCAAGTAAGGCCATTTTCACAGCTMTGGGGGCTTAGGACTTCGGGGTCTCTTTGGGGGGAAATGCATTTCCAAGCTCAGCAGTGGCTTGTCAGAGGAGGCATGGRAGTGAGGCCTCAGTCACTAGGGTGTGCACGACTCAGCTCTTGGGCCCAGGATTCCAATGTGCTTTAGTGCTTTAGTATTTCTGGACAACTGGATTTTCTGCCCTTGATGTGTTCTCTCCCCCTCAAAGACATTCTGCAGCAAATATAGTCTTATTATTTTATTATTTGTTATTGCCTATGGGTAAGAATCACTCATTCAGTTGATCTGTGTTCTGTATAAAGGGCTGCCACAGCTCCAGGCTAATTTCCACATCCTGGTTGCTGGGTAAATCCAGAGCTCTGCTTGGGGAAGCTACTGGGGCCTAGGGGGTGGCGGGCCTTGCCGCCTTCAGATTGGCTGGGCTGGGTCTGAATCTGACCCTATTGGCCCAGACATCAGTCTGTCATTATAGTCAGAGAAGGCAGGATGCAATCCTTACTCTCAGCAAAATGTCCTATTTTAAGTGACAGCATAGTCATTCGGATTTATTCTAATCCAATGTCACATTCTGTAAATAAAATGCCTCCAAATGCAAACATCTCCCCCTCAAAAAAAAAAAAAAAAAGCCTGAAAATACACAAACAGACTTATCATGGAGCTTGTAGATAAAGCTGGTCCAGTTCAAGTGTACTAGGTGCTCTGTACTCTGGCCTGGGGCCTGATCTGAGAAGGTGTTCATTAGGGTCTTTCCAAAGCATTATGCAGTTCGGGGGATCCAGTGGTTTGGTCTCAGGAGAGACTATCATGGTCAGTAGGTGTTGGCTGCCTGGGATTCTGGCTGAGAAGAATTCTGAGCCCACATCAGGTTCAATCCAGGATACTGTGATCGATTAACAATGTCTGCCATGGGCACAGGGAGAGAAGCCATGGCCTGTATTCTATCTGTGCCATCAGTATCTCATGGGGTTTTTACTCCCATTTAAGTGGAACTGCCTATGAGAAGGGCTCACTCTGGGACTCATGAAGGCAGCGAGGGCCTGCCAGGGGTGGTGCCCTCCCCCATGGATCCTACCCTCCTGTCTAGGTCCCAGAAGCCATCCGCAAGTGCCAGCGGGCAGGTATCACTGTCCGAATGGTCACTGGTGACAATATCAATACGGCCCGGGCCATCGCCATCAAGTGTGGTATCATCCATCCTGGGGAAGACTTCCTGTGTCTGGAGGGCAAAGAGTTCAACCGGAGGATCCGCAACGAGAAGGGGGAGGTACGTGACCCAGGGTAAATGTCCTCAGAGGGACTAGATTTGATGGGGCGGGGAGCTGGGAGGCACAGGCGCTGTGATGCATGATTGTGCAGAGACCAGCCAGTATACTCTGGGCTCTTCCTCGATCCTCAGTTTCTCTCCCTGATCCTGCTGACCCTCTCCCCTCATCCCTCTGCAGATTGAGCAGGAGCGAATTGACAAGATCTGGCCAAAACTGCGGGTGCTGGCTCGCTCCTCCCCGACAGACAAGCACACCCTGGTCAAAGGTGAGACGTGGGAGGTCTTGGGAAATTCTGAGGCCAGAGACCAATCCTCATTTCCTGGCACGTGGTGTTTCCATACAACTGGACGGGGGAAAGGGACCCTCTCTGGGAGTCTACACATCTGGGGATGCTCTTATGAAAAGGATGCTTTTCAGCCCAGGGATGCCTGTTGAGGGCCCAAAGGAGGTTGTGAGCCTTCTATTCTGGGCCTCCAACTCCTCCAAGAAATGTTAGGGTTGGGGCCATCTAGGGTCTCGAACTCATGGCTCAGTTATCTTATGGGGACCACAGATATGTTTTATTTGGCCAGTGGGGCATTTTAAATGTCGAGTTTGAGTGACTTTATACAGATCTTGCTCTCTGTGGTTGACAGACTGCTACTGCTCGTTATCTGAAAGTCAACCCTCTTCACTTGCTCTCAGTCWGGCCCCAGAGCTCAGGAGTTCAAGAGCCTTGGTGTGCTTGGCATCTTGAGACTCAGGGATGGGCTGTCTTGGGCCCAATGCCACAGTCCTTCTCTCTTCCCATTTCCCCCCCAGAGAGAKCACAACACATGCCAAGCTCTGGGGGCCAGGTTCTAGGTATTTCTGGTTCATGTCCTGGCTCTGCTGCTGACCTGCTCTGTGGCCGTGGACAAGACTCTCCACTCTGGGACTCGATTTACCCATCTGTAAATTGACTGTGGGATCCAGGCTTCTGCCTGAGATCATCCGTAGGTGTCTAGGATTCTTGCCTCAAACGTGTCACCCAGGGACATTAATGGAGGCAGATCTAGCCTGGGGACAGAAACAGAAGCCCTGAAGCACAGATACTGAAGCAAAAGTTCTCCAACCCATGCTCATTTCTTATTATTTATTAACTCATTTGCTCATCAATTCATTTATTCATTCTTTCAATGACCATTTATTGAGGACCTGTTATATCCAGGCCCTGATCTAGGTGGATGTGGTCCTTCCCTCTGGAATTCGTGGTGCAGGTCCCAGGCAGTGGACACTAAATAGGCAGTGTCCCTGCAGAGGGTGAAAGGCTGCATGGGTGGCAGAGAAGGCTGTGCTGGGGCCCACTGCTGCCCTCTGACTCTGGCTGGGTAGGGTGTCAGGTCACAGGCCATGGAAGGCAAGGGGTGGGTGGGGAGGGTGTTTCCAGGAGGAAGGGTCTGGTTTTCAGACAGGGCAGGGAACCACACTGGAACTGTCCAGAGAAAAAAGTTTTCCCCAGCACATCAAGGAATGAACGTAAATTCAGTTAYCTGCATGGGAGTCCTGGAAGAGGGAAAGCTGAGGAGGAGACTGGAGGAGGCGGGTGGCATCACATCCTACAGACCACGCATTCGCCACGTAGGTGGCAATGACCTGCACTGTTACCCCAAGTTCAGGAAGTGGGAGGGCCACGTGGAAAAGACCACCATTTCATAAAACCCAGCCTGCTTTGGGAGAGTGACCTGCAGGCAAGAGGGACCACCAGGATTGCCTAGCGTGCCACAAGGACCAGATGGTGGCAGGCAGGGCGGCCAGCCGTCAGCAGGTCTGAGAAACCCTTCCAGGTGGAAGTCTGAGCAGGGTGTTTGKACATTGTAAGGGGGTTAAGGGGCAGGGGCCCAGGACCTCTGCTGTCTGCCTGTTTGAGGGCCCACTGCAGGCCCAGTGCCTTTCTGGTGGGCAGCTGGGCACCAGGAGTCACAGGAGACAAGACAGATCTGAGGAAAATTGATGCTTTCAGTGTAGGACTGGCCACGCTGCGGCCTCTGACAGTCGAGCGAAGCTGTCCAGAGGTGGCTGGCTCTCAGGGCAGGAGAGTGCGGGGCCTGAGACACAGGCCTGGCTGGGGTACAAGAGGGAAAAGCTGGGGAGCTGCTGAACCCAGGAGCACCCACCTAAGTGGTGCCAGCAGAACCCAAGGACAAGTGACCAGAGGAGCGGGAGTGATATGGGTGACAGGAAAGCCAGGACGGAAGCTTGTCAGAGAGGAGGACGGATGTGGTCTGGAGGGTCAGGACACAGATTGGCCACAGGGAAGCCCCTGGTGGCCACACAGGGCAGGGCCACACTGGGCCTAGAGTGAGAAGAGACAGCCCCAGGAGGGTTTTGTCCCAGATCTGTGCTCTGTTGGGAACAGGAAAAGCCCATTACCAGCCCAGGGAGCCACAGAGCCCCTCCCCTTGTCAAAGAGGAGCCCCCTGCAGGCTGAGGGAACCAGGGAGGACAGAGGCCTCGCATGCGCATGCGAGTGGACCAGCTTGGAGAGACCGGGTTCAGGGCAGAGGGCCTTGGGGCTGGCTACTGGGTGGCAGCAGCTCAGGACGGTTCCTGGGGCACCAGGCATGGGAGCTAGGTCTTGAGGGGAGCAATTTAGAGGGGACAGTGCCCTAAGTTAGGGAGCTCATCCCCCCCTCCACTGCAGGGCATAGGCAGGGGGGGGTAGGGGAGGCAGCAGCTTCGGGGATGCTCTTGGAGTGACAGGGGTCTTCAGGGCACTACGAAGACTTCTGTGGATGGTGGCATCCAAGCTGAAGCTATAGATGGGTGACAGGAGTATATCCAACCCAAGGAACAGCCTTTATAGGAACAGAGGCCAGTGAGAGCCAGGCATGTGGCAAAGAGGTGGACATGGCCAGGGGCAAGAGAAGAGATCAGAGTGGAGAGGCCCGGTCGTGGGGTTCAGAGGTTCCTGCATGTTATCATGAGGCCCAGGGAAGAAGTGAACGGCTTTTCCGAGGGGCAAGGGACAGGTTCAAACAAGGTCTTGCAGCAAGTTCCAGGGTGCCCCAAGTTAGTGAGGGGCCAGTAGAAATGCCAGTTGTAGAAATCAGGACAGAACACAAAGGACTTCAGTGACATTTTGGAGCCAGAAATCTAAGGCCTTGGTGATGCGTCTGTTGTGTGGAATAAGAGTCAAGGTCAACACCCAAATATCTGTCCTGCCCATGGCCATCTCTGCCTGGTAGCTTCATGAGTGACAAGTCCCACACACTCCAAAGGGCCCTGATGATGACACCTTTCACCTACCCTCTTCCACTGACCCAGCTGGTGACTGGGGCCACGTGTCTTGTGTTCATTCTCATTTTTATTGAATTTTTTATTGAGGATGAGTGTCTGGAGATAGGCCAAGGTCAGAGTAGTAAGGGGAAGGTGTTAGTAGGGCAGATGGCGAGACCCCAGAGAAACCTTGAGAATCCCTGGAGAGCAGAGGGGCCCTGGGTATAAGCAGAGGGACCAAGGGGACAGTTTTTCTGGTTAGGGTKGTTGCCAGTGTGGCCAAGTTCTGTAAGAAACAAAGACAGTGCTGGAAAGTGGGCAGGACCCAGGCCACACAGGACCTCCAGCCAGCCCTGGGCTAGCCAAGTACCCAGAATGCCCTGCAGGTACTGGGAAGAGCCACGCCAGAAGGGGCTAGCTAAGCAGGGGCCAGAGAGGGGGCCATGGCCATGGTCAAGGCTCAGGGCTGGCCCAGGCCCTGAGCATACTCCTGTCCCCAACAGGCATCATCGACAGCACACACACTGAGCAGCGGCAGGTGGTGGCTGTGACCGGGGATGGGACCAACGATGGGCCTGCACTCAAGAAGGCTGATGTGGGCTTCGCCATGGTAGGAGCGGCTCTCAGGGGTGTGGGGTGGAATCTGGCAGGAGCACCTAGGCTACATAGCCTTGAAGTGGCTTGTGGGACCCCCAGTTGACACTCAGCTGACCCTTTGGCCCTGTGTGCATTCAATGCTCTCCAGCCTCCACCTGGCCCCAGAGRTCTTCCTGGAAGGGAGGAGTCCTTCTGCTCAGGGAGAGCTTTGCAAGGAGGGGCACTTGTAGGTTGGAGAGCAGGAGGGTGAGGGAGGAGAGGGTCCAGGGCAGGGCCCAGGTGGGGGTCTGTGTGTGTCCCTGTGTGTGGTCTGACTGTGCTGGGCCCATTGGGATGGAACAGGAGTGGGTTGTGGTGGGCTGAGGATGTGCCAGGGATGGGGACAGCAGTATAGAGCCACTCACCTCCCCCGGCCACCCCTCCAGGCTCCTGTCCCTGTCCCCACAGGGCATCGCAGGCACGGATGTAGCCAAGGAGGCCTCAGACATCATCCTGACAGACGACAACTTCAGCAGCATCGTCAAGGCGGTGATGTGGGGTCGCAACGTCTATGATAGCATCTCCAAGTTCTTGCAGTTCCAGCTGACTGTCAACGTGGTGGCTGTAATCGTGGCCTTCACAGGCGCATGCATCACACAGGTGGGTCCTTGGGGTGCGGGCAGAGACCCCGAGCTGAGAGCTTCCTGAGCTGTGTCAGAATGCCTGGATTGGGGCACGCGTGATTGGAGCACCTGCCAGGAACCGCATCACAGTTCCCTGTGCAGGTGCCAGCCCTGGTGCAGTGGAGGAAATGAGAGGTGGCATGGCTCAGGTGGCCCAGTAAGTGGAAGATGTCAGCCTTACACCCCCATGGTCCTGGGCCAGGCACTGGCCAGACTCTTGGTCCAGGGCTAGGGGGAGACAGGGCCAGTGCAGGCCCAATGTAGATCACAGGACCGGCTGAGGGTCAGCGGGGCCCCTGGGGGCCTTGGTTCTGCAATGATGGGGACAGTACAGGCAGCGGGAATCTGTTTATCCAGATCACTTCTTCTGGGTTTCATGCAGCCCTGTCCTCTAGACTAGGTGGGGCCTGCAGAAAACAAGACCTGGAGGCCTGCAGCCTCACCATGTCCTCACTTTGAGACAGGAATTGGGATGATTCCCATTTGACAGAGGCAGAAACTGAGGCTCAGAGTAGGAGAGGCACCTACCACTGCTCCTGAAGCCTCCTGGTACTGCTACCAGCCTGCCTCCTCCAGGAGCTGACCAGCCTGGCCTGGGGAAGAGAGTAGGCTGCCTCAGCCCTGGGAGGTCCCTGAGGCCTGACGCCTTCCAGCAGCCACCTCAGTATTCAAGCCCCTKTACTCAGGACCCCCAGAATCCCAGAGTGCTGCACTACTACTGAGCTGTGTGGCCCTGGGAACCCTGCTCCCCTCTGTTGCATCCGAGTCATGGGGACACTGCTGGTGGCCACTGCTTGCCCCAGTCTGAGAGTCAGAGCCCTGTGGGGTGAAGGGCAGAGATAGGGATGGTTGGGTTCCCTTCTGCTGGAAAGAGTCCTCTTTCCTCTCCTGTGGATGAGAAGCTCCCTCTAGTGGCAGCTTGGGGATACTGCCATGGKAACAGAAACTCAGGCTTCTTGGATCCAACTGGTACCTGGTGGGGAAACTGAGGTTCCAAGAAAACTACCAGTTGAACAGGGACCAGGGGGAATAGGTGGACACCAGTCCCTGAGGTGCACTCAATCAGAAAAAGCTGAGGGGCAGGAGGAAGCCCAAGAGGGATGGCTGAGCCAGGACAGAGGCCGGGGAGCTGGCCAGGAGGGGCTGTGACAATTGCCTAGGAGGTGAGCGAGCGCACGGGCACAGGCAGAGGGGTCAGGGTGGGTGGGCTTCCTGAAGGCTGTGTTCCATGGCCCCCAGATGGGCAAGGCTAAAGCCACAGGGATCTGGGCTGGAGAGAGGCCAGGTGGGAGGAGGTAGGTCCCTGAAGCTAGGGAGACAGGTGCAGAGGAGAGCAGGGCCCAGGAAGGGGCCACAGGAGCCCAGGGTTTTTTTAAATATTTTGTTGTTGTTGTTGTAGTTGGACATAATACCTTTATTTTATTTATTTATTCTTATGTGGYGCTGAGGATCGAACCCAGGGCCTCACACGTGCCAGGCGAGCACTCTACTGCTGAGCCACAACCCCAGCCCAGGAACCCATTTTTAAAAGGAGGGAGGAGGAGCCCTCTGAAAGGGAGGACCAGGAGAGTGGGGTCAGGAGTGGCCTGGCACTGCGGTGAGGCTGGAGGAGGGATCCCTCGATCTGATACAGAAGTGGCTGGTGACAGAGAAAGGCATTTGAGGACACAGAGGGGCCAAGCCTACAGCTGTGGATAAGGCCTACAGGGCAGGAGGAGGGAGGGCGACCAGCAGCTCCAGCTCCTTCAGGCGGTGGAGACCCTGCGCTGTGATTGTGCCCGACACGCRGTACTCTCCCGTCTCAGTCAGCGAGAGGTCTAGAAGGGCACACACCAGAATGGGGGCAGTGGTAACCTCTGTGAGATCCCCCAGAGACTTTTAGCCTCCTCTGCTATTCCTTATGTGCCAAAATTTCCCAGCTTGAAAATGTATTATTTTTAAAGTCATAGAAACACAAAGAGAGGCTTTTTAGAATAACGTAGGATAATAAAAGGCAAGGAGAAACTGGGGACAAGGGTCATGGAAAGGAGAGACTTGAGCCACAGACAGTTGAGGGGAAAGAGGCAGCAGGAGGTGCAGGGAAGGGGGAGCGGCAGGGGCTGTGCTGTGACATGGCSAGGAGAAGGGGGGAGGGAGGTGGCAGGGATGCAGCTAAAGATTACAAGAAGCTGGTGGCTGTTGGGCCTGGGGGACTCTGCCTTCTCCTGGGGTGGTGGGGTACAGGGCTGAGGTGGGCAGCTCTGCACAGTCCTCCAGAGGAGGCTTCTAGAACCTGCTGTGCACCTGCTCAGGAACCCACGGGACAGGCCAGCCTCATGTGACCTCCGTCACATCCTACCAGCACTCTATGGCAGAGGAGGGGCTGGCTCCTGTGACAGAGCTCTCCTTGGGCCACTTCTCCAGGACTCCCCTCTGAAGGCTGTGCAGATGCTCTGGGTGAACCTCATCATGGACACATTCGCTTCCCTGGCTCTGGCCACAGAGCCGCCCACTGAGACTCTGCTTCTGAGGAAGCCGTACGGACGCAACAAGCCCCTCATCTCCCGGACCATGATGAAGAACATCCTGGGCCACGCAGTCTACCAGCTCACCCTCATCTTCACCCTGCTCTTCGTTGGTGAGCCCCCTGCCCACATCCTCAGTGGCCCTGTCACCACCTTCCAGGGACACTTTGGCCCAGACCTGGCATCTGGATTCACAGCCACCTTCCTATTTTGCTCAAGCTTAGGGAGGTAAAGTAAGTTGCTCAAGGTCACAGAGGGAGCTTCGAGCAGAGCCTGTCCCCATCACAGGCCTAGCTGACCCCAAATCTAGGGTTTTTTCCATGGATCGCAGCTCCCAGGTCTGAGTGCACATCACACAAGGTGCATGCAGGGCTGATGAGTGCACTTCATGTCAGCTCCTCAGAGCCGGGACCCCTTCCCTGACCTCTTCTAGCACCTTCTGTTGCACCAGGGAAGGCGTCCTCATGGAGACGTCTGTGTAACTGCCAGCCACTTACACCATGCTTCCACCGAAGCTGCCTCATTTAGGCCTCCAGCCACGCCATGAGGCAGGTGCCCTTGCTCCTGTGTTAGGAAGCTGTTTCTGTCACTATAATAAAAGACCCAAGAAAACTTAGAATAAGTTTATTTTGGTTCACAGTTTTGAAGGTTTCTGTCCCCAGTCAGGTGGCCCTGTTGTTTAGGGTAATGGCAAGGCAGCACTTCATGGCAGGAGCATGGGGTAGAGCAAAACGGATCACCTTGGGAGCCAGGGGGCAGAGAGAGCAGTAGAGACCAGGGCCCATGTCCCCCTTCGAAGACATGCCCCAGTGACCAGAAAGCCTCGCACAAGGCTCCATCTCCCAATGATTCCACCACCTCCCTGTAGCACCACCCTGGGGACCAAGTCTTAACACATGGGCCTCTGGTGGACACTCCAGATCCAAATTATAGTACCTTGACCCCCCATTACTCCAAGGCACCAAGGCTCACAGAGGTGAGGTGCTTACCTAAGGGCACACAGCTGGTCTGAGGAGGAACTAGAAAGAGAATCAGGTTTGGCTGGGGTTAAGAATGGCCTGGTTTCTGTGGAGCCTCCAAGATGATCCTGGCAAAGCCTATCCCTGGTCATGGTCCCCAACCCAGGAAGAGGAAGGGGTTGGTCACACAGAGACAGGCCAGTGCAGCATCCCCAGCCTGGGAGCTGGGTTTTCAATGCTAACGAGCATGCGCCCTCAACACCCAGAGTATGCATGGTGGCGCGGCAAGGGTCTCAGTCCAAAAAAGGCAGTCACCTTCTGTAAATCTGGAAAGTGATGTGTTGTCGGGACACAGTTTACTGTTGTAAGAATTATCCTGAAAAGCTATAGAGGAAGCCACATGAAAGAAAACCTTGAGACACTAGGAGAAAGTGGTGGGAGAAAGGGAGGAGAACTGGGGCTCCTACTGCCTGCTACCCGCACCACCACCCAACCCCRACTTCATCACCCGCCGTTCTTGGGTTTGGCTGGACACCTTCTACCCAGAAAACTCCACGACCTTCCTGGCACCAGTTCATGAGGTTTTACAAAAGGATACAGGATGCATCAGACATGCCACCAACAGGCATCCATGCAGCAATCTGGGGACCACCCCARGCAACAGCTCAGGTGTGAAAGGATGAAGCCCAAAAGGGTGGTTCCAAGGCCACCCCAGCCTAGAAGCCCCACACTCACATAGGAATGGGGATCTCTTATAACAGCCCTATGAGCTTCCAGAGGTCTCAGCAAGGGCATGCTCAGTGCCAAGCAGCAGAACTGTCAGGGAAGCTCAGATCCATGGCCTCCATGTGATCAGCTTTCTGTTGCTGTTACAAAACACCTGAGATAATCAACTTAAAAAGAGGAAATGTTTATTTTGGCTTACAGTTTTGGAGGTTTCAGTCTATGGTCAGTCTCTTGCTTTTAGGCCTGTGGTGAGGGGGTACATGCTGGAGGAAACTGCCCAACATGGAAGGGAAGTTTAAGAGAGGAAGAGGAAGAGGCTGGGGTCTCAGAATCCCCTTTGATAGCATATCCCAGGGACCGTAAGACCCCCACATTAGGCTCCACCTCTTAAAAGTACCCCAATAGCACTGTGGGATAGGGACCAAGCCTTTTATCGCTTGAGCCTTTGGGGGACACTGGCAAACCATAGCAGCTTCCCACAGGTTTTCTTGTCCTCCCAGTCCAGATGCACTTGCCAATCTAGGGTCACTTCTTATAAGCAATGTCACCTAGTATGCAACTGGCATTCCACCTTTCTCAGATTTCCACAGGAAAGGCGGAAGACAGCTCCCCAAGGTCTTTGCCCCCTGCCCCTTAGAAAAAGGGCTTTGCTGACCCTTCCCTCACTGACCAGGCAGCAGTGCGGGCTGTACCCTGCCCCTTGCTTCCAGCCGTGCCTCCCTCCTCTGCTGCTCCCAGCCCAGCCCCTGCCCTCTCGGCTTGGCAGGCGAGAAGATGTTCCAGATCGACAGTGGGAGGAACGCCCCCCTGCACTCACCACCCTCAGAGCACTACACCATCATCTTCAACACCTTCGTCATGATGCAGCTCTTCAATGAGATCAACGCCCGCAAGATCCATGGCGAGCGCAACGTCTTCGATGGCATCTTCCGGAACCCCATCTTCTGCACCATCGTGCTGGGCACCTTCGCCATCCAGGTARCCAGGCCCCTGCCCTCACCTGGGCTGGGCTGGGCAGTGAGCACCCCAGCCCTCTGTGCCGGCCGCTGAGGGCCTGTCCCCCTGTGTCTCTGCTCCCTTTGACCTCCAGATAGTGATCGTGCAGTTTGGAGGGAAGCCCTTCAGCTGCTCGCCGCTGCAGCTGGACCAGTGGATGTGGTGCATATTCATCGGGTTGGGAGAGCTCGTCTGGGGCCAGGTGGGTTCCTGGGGGTTGCAGGAGGTGTCTCTCTGCAGGGGAAGGGAAGAGCACTGGACAGGGAATCCAGGAGCCCCCAGGAATGGGTCCTGGCTCCGCCATAGACTCACTGCCACCCCAGGCAAGGCCCTCACCATCTCTGGACATCTGAGCAGTGGGGGCCTGGCCAGGTCCCAAATGCTAGATATCTGCATGCCACCACTCTGAATTTCGCCTTTTATCTATTTACCATTGCTCCTGTTATTAATATTTTTTAATCACTTCGGGATTTTTTTTAACAAATTTACTTCGAAAGGCAACATAATATTACTAACATAACTAGAAAATCAGTCACTTGCTATAAATAGAAGCTAACAAAAAGTTTAATGTCATGAGCACAATGTTATTAAGTGCTAGCTAGACACTGTGGCCTGCCAAGGCTCAGGGCCTGAAGCCAGTGTGTTGAAAGGGGACATTAGTCAGTGGTGTCCTGACTCAGAGGTACAAATCCTGCCATGTTGCAGTGTGACGCAGTACTGTGCCTGGGGTCACAAGAGATCTTCCCTGGCTTTGGGAATACTCTCTGGTGGCCCCTCTAGCTCTGATCCCAGGACATTCTTCAGCCAGTTCCTTCCCCTGTGTTTGCCGAGTTCTACGCACACATGAGCATTTTTGAGTGTACCCACATGTACACACACACACACACACACATATGCCATCACAATTCTGCTTGCTCATGACTCAGGTGCTGGGTAGGTGTCCAGAGCCCATTCTGGGCCCAAGGAGCTTGATTTCCAAGGTGCTCAGACACCCAGGCAGTGGGGACCCCATGGGCCTGAGAYATAATTTTCTCCTTCATGGCTGTCCCCAAGCTAGAGTAAGAAGCCACAGTGACAAAAATTAACTAGAAGATACAGAAGAAAGTTAYCAGCAGTACTGGAACTGGAGGTGGAACTCCAGTGGGTCTCCATCACTGAACTACATTCCCAGCACCTTTTATTTTTAATTTTGAGACAGGGTCTAAATTTCCCAGGCTGACCTTGAACTTGTGACCCTCCTGCCTCAACCTCCCAAGTTGCTGGGATTACAGGTTTCATTTTGAAATGACCACCATACCCAGGAGTTTCATCTTTAAAATTTGGAGCTTCTTTGGAAAATTGATAGACTCAATTTGATCTAGGAACCCCCTTCTCTGGGCACTTCTTGGGACCATCTCTATCACACTGAAGCCCATACTCTAAGCTCTCAGCATCTGGGGGAGCAGATACTGAAGGACTAAGGTCAATATCAGTGGACAGTGTTGTCCCTAAACTCCCAGGGAACCCTTAGGCTGAGTATGTATCCTCATGGATTTAAGGGCCTCGGACCCATGGACAAGCCATTTGGGAAGCCTTCAGATGGAGAAGAAGGCACATCCCTTCCCATATTGCCTTCCCCGTCCAAGATTGGCTAGCCCCAGGCCACCCGGACCTATGCCCTTTTTYCCCCAGTTTGGGGATCCCATGACCCAGTGACCTCAGGGGGAAATGAACCCGGGAGACCTGAGGGCCAGCCATAGGCGAAGGTCTACACAGCAACTTACACGCCCGGCTGCATCCTCGCTGATGGGGAAACCAAAGCTCAGAGAGGGTACATGACCTGCCCAGGGCTGCACAACCAGCACAGTCTGATGTCTTCCAAGTCACATCTGGGCAACTTCTAAAGGCCCAGAGGTCCCACTGTGCCCCTGAGTCTAGACGAGTGAGTGAAAAAGCAAGTTAACAAGAACTTGTAAAAGGTTGAGCCAAGGGATGGGAGAGATGGGCTAAGGAGCAAGTGGGTCCTGGGGCTGGACGAGCTGGTAGAGGAGGAGGGAGAGGAAGTGGAGGAGAAGCTGGAAGGACAGGCTGCCCTGAACCCCTGCTGGGTGGTGTCCCTTGCAGGTCATCGCCACCATCCCCACGAGCAGGCTCAAGTTCCTGAAGGAGGCAGGCAGGCTCACGCAGAAGGAGGAGATCCCTGAGGAGGAGCTCAACGAGGACGTGGAGGAGATCGACCACGCGGAGAGGGAGCTGCGCCGCGGCCAGATCCTGTGGTTCCGGGGCCTGAATCGGATTCAGACACAGGTACAGGAAGCTCCAGGGTGGGGCCCAGGCCTTGCTGGCAGGTGGTGGCAGAGGTCAGTGTGTGCCTGCCACTCCCAGAGGTGGCTCTGGCACCGAGGGTGGCCACAGACAGGCCCAGGGGGCTTTCATAGCRCCCTGCAAAGAGCATTGTAAGGTCCCAGACCAGCCCTCACTGTGTCACCAGCTACTCGCACACGGCGCTCCTTACACACACTCATGCTGCTACAAGGACAGAGCAGCCTCCTCAGGAGGACTCCATCACACCGTGGCCCCCCCAGGAGACAATGCAGGGGTCGATCCCACCCTGGGTTTCCAGGAGAAGTCCCTTGGGAGGGTGGGAGGGGCAGCTCTGAGGGCTGAGGTGAGTGAGGGGACTGTGGTGGCTGGGGACGGCCACCAGGAGGGGTAGGGCAAGGCTGGGTGGAAGCTACAGGCCAGGGCTGCCTCAGGTTTTCTCAGGGCCCCGGGGTGAGACCTTTATGGACCCACGCCATCCTCTGTCCCCACAAGGGCTCCAGACACTCCCCAGACTCCCACAGGTGGTTAAGGGGGCCCTGGGGAGCAAAGGTGGCTCTCCCCAGGTACACAGACACACCCGTGCCTGCCAYGCACACGCATGGGGAGCCACCATGTGGCATGTAAAAACCATGTCCCTCCCCAGGCACAAGCCTCAGAGCCCCCTCCCCCAGTCAGAGGCTGTTCACAGGCATGCTGTCACCATTCTGTGAGGTCGGGGTCAAAAGGGGACCAAGAAACCAAGAGAGAGGCCTCCTGACCTGAGAGACCACCAGGGGCACTCCAGCTGGGGAGGTCGTCCTTGATCCCTCCCTGACCCTCTGGGAAAGCTTGGCAAAGAGCCACCGCTGCACCTCGGTCTCCAGAAGTGGACTAGCAACTTCATTTCTGTCCTGTGCGGCAGGTGGCTCCCCTGGGCCACTTCTCACCCCACAGTGCCAGTCCCAAACCTCATCTCATTTGACCTTTATGGCCTGAGAGGACAGGTGGGTCTGCCTCCCCAGTTCTAGAAGCCACTCAGCCCCTGAGATGGCCCTTCTGCTGAGATGGCATGACCCGGATGGGACAGGGAGTGGGTTTCAGACCCAGAGCCACCTGATGCAGCCTGGGCACCCCCTTCCCTAGCCAGGACCCCAGTGGCCCCACTTCCTGTGGGGGCAGAGCATCCGGTGGCTCCAGCCCTGCGACTGTCATTGCCCTGCAGGTCTCCAGATTGCTGGAGGGACCAAAGAGTGTAGTTTCTARAGTGGGCATGAGCAGAGCACCTCCATTCCCGCCTCTTCCTGAGCACTAACGTGGGCCTGGTGTTTGCTGTTTGCAGATAAGCCTGCCAGGTAGATGGCTTTGCCCCTTCTTAAGGACAAGAAACAGGACTCAGACAGGGGACTTGCCCAAGGTCACCTAGCTAGTAAGTGACAAAAGCCAGAATTTGGACCAAGGTTTGCCCACCCCARGGCCCCCACCACAATGCTCTTGGCTCCAGGCCTGGCCCAGGGAGGCTGAGCAGCTACTCTTCCGGCCAAACAGCATGCTCACCCCCAGCCTCCCCCAGCCTCCCCCAGCCACGGTCCCCAGCCCTTAGCACAGGGGAGAGGCTGGAACCCTGTGTCCTCCCGGGGACCCTGGGGCCTACCGATGGGCCCGGAGCCGAGCAGACATCTTTCAGAGCCTTGGAGTGTGTCTGGTATTTTTTGTTTTGATTTAAGTGACGTTGTCGTTGTCGCCGTGGCTGCGGCTGTTCTCGTGACCTTGCGCCTGTCAGTTGTGTAGCTGTCGTGTCCGTTCTTCTCGCAACTTGTCTCGTTCTCTCCTCCGTTGCAGATTGAAGTAGTCAATACATTCAAGAGCGGGGCCTCCTTTCAGGGGGCCCTGCGGAGACAGTCCTCCGTCACCAGCCAGAGCCAGGACGTAGCCAATCTCTCTAGCCCTAGTCGCGTGTCGTTGTCCAATGCTCTTTCCTCTCCGACCAGCCTTCCTCCTGCTGCAGCTGGGCGTGAGTGTGACTCCTTACCGCCTCTGCTGGCGCCACCAACGCCAACCCCCGGGGCGGGCAGGGGCAGGGGTGCCAGAGGACGTGGGGGGCAGCTGGTCACGTCAGGCCCAGGGGGCTAAGGGGTCTCTACCACTGAAGAGGGTCCCAGTTGGTCAGGAGGTCATAGCCAGTCACTCAGCAGGCCAGGGTCAGCTGGGTCCAGGGGTTACAACCAACCAGTCGGTGTCGTTAGGGTCACAGCAGTCCAAAGGTCTGAGTCAGAGGATCACCAGCGGTCAGGAGGGTTTGGGTTTCAGTGATCTAATGGTCTCAGTCCACCACAGGTCCCAGAGGCCATGACAGGCAGTCACAGAGCTGGCCAGAGTGTCATCTAGTTTAGTTGTCCTTTGTCAGCAAAAGCCTAGCCCGTGAGGACCAGGGTCAGAGTTGGCCTRCAGGTCACAATCTTGCAGTCAAAGTCAAGCAATGGGTACTGTGGGTCAGGGTAAAAGCCCCTCAGGGGTCACAGTGGGACCCCACCAAGAGGAGGTCATGTCATCTCGGGTTTCCCAGATGATCAGATGATACCTAACAGWGTGGGAAGTCATGACCAAGAGGGACAGACAAGCCAAGAGGTCACTGTAGGCCACAGGTCACCATCAGTCAGGGGTCCCAAAWTTCTGAAATCTCCCTTCTAGAATGTCCCTCCCCTTGCCCATCTGATGGCATCAGGGGACTTAGAAACACTGTTCCCTACTAGAAGTTGGGACACACTAAATTTCTGACCCCTTCCTGGAAAAGACAAGGCTCCTGCCCATGGGCATGGGRCATGTCTCACATCTCTTCTGGGTGCCAGCAGGCTCGGAGCATTCAGGTCTAACCTTTGGCATCTTGTCCTTCTTTATCTGAGGGTCTGAGGGATAGCCTGGGACTGTGACCCCCTCCTTCATCTCTCTCCTCCGCTCCTCATGCTGCCTCTTCTGACCCGAGTCCCTCATCTCTCATCTCTGGATTTCCTGGCTTCTCCGTGACTTTAGGCCCCAGAAGGAGTCAGTCTGTATTTCCCAGATGCTCCCTGGTTTTGTCTCCAGTAGACCCCCCCACACTCAAGGGAGTCCCTGGGTCCGGTGTTCCCATCAGACAGAGGGAAACAGACTCCGGGCCTTACCTCTTGATGCTTCATGAAGCGCCCCTACCTGCACCCAAAACCACAGCAGCCGCAACACTCCGCCCTCCCCAGCAGGAAGGACTTGGGTGTGGTGTGGGAGCTATTCCATATGACCACAAAGAACCTGATCCTGTCCATGGCCTGCACTCATCTCCTGCCCAGTTCACAAGACTGCAGGAAGGATGCAGAAAATGTTCATTCATTAGCACAAAAACACAGAGATGGGGTGACCAGATGCGCCAGGGGATGTGGACACGTATGTAAGCAGATGGTGTCTGAGTCACGTTCCCATAAGGTGCCGTCCCTAGGAGATCACGGCCAGGCTCCCTCTGGGCAGGAAACACTTTGGTCCCACCCTCTCTGGCCTTCAGACCAAAGCCCTCACCTCAGTGGGTGACCTTCACCCAGATGACTGTTCTACTCCTTCCTGTCCCTGTAGTAGCTTAACTTTGGCCTTGCGCAGCACCCCACCTGTCTAGAAGTGCAGTCACCAAGTGTTCTGGCACGGAGATGCCCCTGTTGGTGACTCCAGAGTTGCTCTGGGTGACCCTGATTGCCAGGACTGTGGCTCCTGGGTACAAGCTCAGTTCTTTTTTCCATTCCCTTTAACCACTGAGCCACATCCTCAGCCCTGCTTTTTATATTTTTTATTTTTGAGACAGGGCCTTGCTAAGTTGCTAAGGCTGGCCTTGAACTTGTGATCCTCCTGCCTGAGCCTCCCTGGCCACTGAGATCCCAGGGATGTGCCACTTTGCCTGGCCTCTTTCAGCCTCTTTCTTGAAGCACAGTGCTTTGCACCGGCCAGGACAGAACTCACCCAACACTCCTGGGCACCCACACAGCCTTGGCAGACCTTCCCTGGGTTTAGTCCCTCAGCTTAGCCCTCATGATCAAGAAGAAAGCTCAGTCCTCTCACACCTCCACGCCTCCTTCTCACTCTTCTTTTGTGTCATTTGTAAAACCATTGAAGGAGGCCAGTAATGGGACAGCACTGTTCCTTCAGAGAAATGCACATTATTCCCACTTTTAAACTCCCTCCAGCCCAGATCAGCCCCCCTTATCCCAACTGACCTCAACTTTGGAAAAAGCCTCTGAATGGAGCTTAGGCAGAGGCTGTCCCAAAGCTGACCTACTGGTCCTCACCCCTGACCCCTCATTCTCCCAGAAGCCCCAGTGGGGTTGGTCACACCAACTCCCTCACCCAAGCCCATCGCCAGGAACCTAGCGTTCCTACCCTCTTGTTTTAGAGTCCAGCCGATAACTGGGTCCCAGAAGGGCATAGGATCCCAAAAAGAACCTCACCATCTTCTTGCCCAAGGGCACTGGCTCCAAGAGGGATCCCAAYGTCTATAGTCTCAACATATACATTTGGTCATGAGGGTCACTGTGCAAACACTAAGTAAACATCCCTMGTCCTTTGCTTGAATAGTTTCCATAACAATGTCACCTCCTCTGGTCTCCAAGGACTCTGAGGACCCTCTAGATATGAGGCAAGGTCCCTTGAGAAGCCAAAATGCTTCCTGCCCACAGGGAGGTTTGCATCAAGTGTCCAGGACACAGCAGCAGAGCCCCATTGGGTGGATAGACAGGGGCTGCCCCCTTAAAGCAGGATCTACACGTTGGGGGCTCTTCAGCAAAGATGGCCATGTGCCTGCTGAGGCACAGAGAGCTGCAGTCTGTGTGCCCCTAGAGAAGTCAAACCACTGTCCCTAGGCCAACAAGAGTTGATCACCAGCCTGGACAACTTTAGCAAGATCCTGTCACAAAATGACTAGGAAGAAAGGACAGTCTACCAGCATGTTAATGGAACAGAGGAAGACACTGACAGACACCCACAGCAAAGGAGTGGCAAGAAGTCTGTCCCCTCACCGTCCCATCACTTCCCAGACAGGTCCACAGACCTGGAGGCACGGAGGCTGAACTTTCATTCCACAGCGGGCGCCCACACCCACAGATTCACCAGGAAAAGTCCCCCAGCCTGGCAGGGAACGAGACGCAGCATGACTTCCCACTCGTGACCAGAACCCCATTCAAACGCCAGGCTGCACGGTGGCCTCTTCTTCCCCTTCTCCCCCTCAAATCCTAACTCATCTCAAGCCATCTTTGTCCCGAGCAAGTCTGTAGCAGGTTCTGTGTTCATCAGTGAATTCCTGCTCCTTCAGACCCACTTGTGAGCCAGGCCTGGGCCACATTTTGGACACCATGCCTCCCTAGACAGACAGGGGACCACCTGTCCTGGTTTTGAGGACTGCTAGGGCAAGGATGGTACAGTGAGGAAGAGAAATCAAGACAAGGAGGAGGACAGAAAGCTGGACCTCTCTTTAGCATTTTGGTAACTCATTTAGAGCGACTTGGGTTGGTGAGAAAATGGCTTGCTTCTGGGTTGGGGGGGCCCCAGACCTCTCCACTGTCTGAATATGCCGTGTGTTTGTTTCCCTAGAGGGCTAGAGAACCCTGGACACAGAGTTCAGCAAGAGAGAGTGAAATTAAAACAGGTTGTGAGTCTTTAACCTTGAGCCTGAAATGAATGTGAATCAATCCCAGACTCTTGGCTTCCTTGAAGCCGGGTAAACATTCGAGTATGTGGAACCCCGGAACCGTCTCAGAGCGGGGCCTGTGCATCCCCCAGAGCCCTCCTGTAGCGCCAGGTGCCCTGTGCTGACCAAGCCACACCAGCTGAATCCCGCCCACTGGGCCCTTCCTCTTTCCTGGTCCCTGTACCCAAACTTGGCTTCTGCCCCCAAGTCCCATCTCCACGGCAGGCAGGGAGGGGAGATGGAAGAGCATTTTTTTTTTCTTCCCATATATATTTTTTTCCATTTCAGCCACAGAGAGAACCGAAGTGGAGACTTGAGATGGCCGTGGCGGGGTGTCCCGAAAAGTCTTGTCCCCACAGTCTTGTCCAGAGCAGTTCATTATTTCTGTTGTCTCCATGCCAGGGGGAGGGTGGAAGGGCCTCATCTCATTGTGTGTCATCCCCTCTGCGTTGTCAGTCACATGACAGGGGCCTGCCACTGTCCCCTTCCCCCACACATGTACCAAGTGCTCCAGCYGGCATCTCATTGCACATCAGCCTCAGAAAGCACATGCACTAGGGCAGTGCCAGTGACACTGATCACTCCCATTTCACAGATGAGAAAACTGAGGACTTTTTGTTTTGTTCTGCCATTTTCTCTCAGTCAATGGTGTGATGGCCCAAATATCCAGAGATCCGAGTATTTATCATCTCTACAGAGCCACCAATACGGAAGTCAGGGCAGCCAAGAGGGCCATCACAAAGTGCCAGCACTAATGCGGTGTCTGGCCAACTCTTGCTTGGCATCTGTTGCCTCTGATTTAAAGCATGATTCCAGCAAGTGCTGGACTCTGGAGGGACTCTGGAGAGACAGAGATGCTCCTTAGAAAACATGCGGAAGTCAGCACTGATAACTGATGGCCCACAGCAGAGGGGAACTCYGGGGGGAGGACAGAGCCAAACGGGGTGACCTGGCACCAGACCAAGAAGGACGACAGCAGAACCCAAGTTAACTCTCCCTGTGTTCGTCCTCAGAAGGCAGAGCGCACATGAGAGCTATAGAAGCCCTCCCCCTGAAACAGGGAAATACGCCTCAGTTAGGACACGTAGAATCACCAACCAGAGGCACCCAGAAAATTCACCCCCAGGGAACAGGCTGCCACACCATGCCATCAGAGGAGCCAGCCCTCGGTCAGCCGAGAGCTCAGTCTGGGACTTCTAGGGCCTCCCCACAACCATCTCCACGGTCCTCTGCTTCCCTGCAGGCTGGAGGTGTCACCAAGGCCCTGCCTCTCGGCCCCACCCCCCCATACACACTCCATACCCAGCCACCGTGTTTCCTCCACCTCTCACTCTGCTCTGAGTTGGGGCTGGGAAGAGAGCACAAGGCACCTTTGTCCCAAGGCCCATCAGTCCCCTGAGGTGACAGGCATGTTCCCTCTCCCAAGAGCCCAGAGAGGGGACATCTCTCTCCCAGGTGAGGGTCCTGCCCCTCTGCACCCTGTAAGGCAGGACAGAGCATGACCAGAGAGACAGTGTGGGTCCCCCACAGCCAAGGCACAAAAGGCAGCAGAGCCAGAGCCCACACTTGGGTCTCTTCCTACTTCCAAGTCCCCGTCCACTGTCCTTGAAGACCCAATGAGCAGCCTCCTTCCAATCTTTAGARGAGGCTGAGCCTCGTTGTGTGGCTCACCACTGACAAGAAACACAGTACACGCCCCCTGGAACTGCCCGGGGAGGCTGGGCATGGCCATCTGCTTCTGGCCTCATTTTTTGGTTTTGTGTTTTCAAAGCACAAATAAAGAAATGAACAAAACACCCCAGGAAACCAGAGAACCCCCCACCACCACCAAAGCAAGCTCCACTGACTGGCCAGGGCTGTGAGTCTATACTCGAGTGTTTACCTCCCAAATGCATGAAGGAAAGAAACGCTGGGTACAAACGATCTTGTTCACATTGTCCAGGCTTCCAAGTGTAGCCGTGTGTCCGTCTGTGTGTGCTGTGTGGTTTCCTGATCCTGCTGTGGCATGCTCCCTGCCCCTGAATGTCATCCATCTGCGGCTCCTTCGTGCTTTCTGGCTGCCTCTGCTCTGCGCCTCAGAAAGACCTGAGCTGGCTTCATCCGCTTTGCTGCCTCAGTTTGATGTCCCCGTTCTCTGTTTGGCCTCGTGTGTCCTCTCTCATCCCCGCTCATCCAGCCRTCTCTCCTTCCTGTTCCTTTACTGTGTGACACGTAACCTGTTCCATGTGGTTTGGTTTCTTTACTGTGTGTGGTTTTTTGGGGTTTTTTGGTTTATTTTTAAAATTAATAATATATATTTAAAAAAAGCCTCTCCTCTTTCCCCGTCTCTTCCCCCGCCCCACTCCCTTCTGCATGGTCGAACCTCTGCTGTCAAGTTAACCAGGCTCAGTCTCTCACTAGGTCGGGGTGCCCGTTGGAGTGGACCATGCTTCCGTTCACCACTGTGTCCCAGCATCTCTTTCATGGTGCTTGATGACTCCTCCTATCCTAATACTGTAGTTCTGACCAAAACCAAAGCCATTTTTAAAAACCAGCTCATGGATGCACATCACCTGAGCCCCTCTGCCATTCTTCCCTCCCTGCGATGCGCATAGCACCCAGCGACTGTGGACTCCAGCCGCCTGCTGCCCTCACCCTCCTCCAGCCCCATCCTCTGAGCCCCCCCGGAGCCCCCACAGGCCCCAGGGCTGCTCCTGAGCCCTGTGCTTCCCTTGCAGATCCGCGTCGTGAAGGCGTTCCGTAGCTCTCTCTATGAAGGGTTAGAAAAGCCCGAGTCTCGAACCTCCATCCATAACTTCATGGCTCATCCTGAATTCCGGATCGAAGATTCACAGCCCCACATCCCCCTCATTGACGACACCGACCTGGAAGAAGATGCCGCGCTCAAGCAGAACTCCAGCCCGCCGTCATCGCTCAACAAGAACAACAGCGCCATCGACAGCGGGATCAACCTGACGACCGACACGAGCAAATCAGCTACCTCTTCAAGTCCAGGGAGCCCCATTCACAGCCTGGAGACGTCGCTTTAGCTGAGGACCCTGTTGCCCACCCGCCGGCCCGCCCTAAGGGACCCGCTGCCACCGCTCCCGGGCACCCACCCCTCCAGGCACCCGACTCACCCACGCAGCAAGGAGCAACCCCAGGAAACCAAATACTGGAGAGAAAACCCGACGTTTCCACCCACAGACCTTTCTCTGGCTGCGATGCTGTTTGAACAATTTTTCACTTCGAGGCAAGGGCCGGGTTCCGGGGGGCCTCTGGGAGGAGTGAGCAGTTATCCCAAAGGGAGCCTTTCTTGGCTCCCACTCAAGACATGAACCAGCCATGCACCCACCCGGCCACCACGTCCCCCCCGCATGAATGTACTGGACACTTTCCATCCTCCCCTTGTTTGGTTTTGGGGGGGTTGGAGAGGGGGAGGGGTTTTTTGTTTGTTTGTTTTCTTAGGCRGGAACTGCAAACAGGACTCTTTTCTGAGACTATTTATCCGATCCACTGGTCTGTGAGTTTTTGAAATGCTTGCGCAGCATGGTCTCAGTTGTATAGATTAATTTAATAACTTTTTGAAATCGCAGAGCTTAACTCGCCTAGTAGATTTGCACCAATGGAACCGAAGAACATCATAGACACTCACGAGGTTATATCCATTTCTTTGTATCTATATCAACGTATACTTTCCAAGACTGTATACGTCCATATAGATAGGTAGATATATATATATATATATATATAAATATATATACATGGATATATAAAGTTTCTTTGCCGGCATGTTGCCTTGTTTCTGCTTAAATTGCTCTATTTTAACTTATTTATGTCCTAAAAGAAGAATGTAATTTGTTTACAAACCTGTAGATAATGTCTTTGGCTATTTGTACGGTTCAAGAACACTGGTGGCTGAGATGCTATAAAAATAGCTCGCTCGGCCCAACAGACACTTCCCCTGGATTGCATCCTCGATGTTTTACAATAGCCATGCTCTGATTTTTGCCTGCTATTTCCGTTCAATGACGTCACTACCGTGGGAGGCTCAGGCAGAAGCCAAATGCTACCGAGGATCCATCCTGAGGTGTTCAGCCACAGGCTCCGTAGACGAAGGGAGAAGAGAGAAGGTTTCCTAGGTTTGTGGCACCAGCAGCTGTCACAACCCAAGGATGTCAAAAGCACTGGCTCAAGACTTTTCTTTCAATGAAACTCGCTTGAGTTTACCAAGAGCATTTCCAAAATAGGTTGTCTTTGGCGCTGTCTGCACAGAGGTTGAGGTAGTGTTGAAATATTATAAATGCTATTGTGTTGATTTTTTTTTTTAGTTAGTAATTTAGAAGTTTATTTCCTTATAAATGGCAGCGTATAAGCTGTTGGCACACTGGATGAAGATCGGTATGGCTTGCTGCTTTTATTTTTATTTTTGAAGAAGAATAGCCTTTTTCTCTGCACTATTTAGATCCGAATGAACCTTATGATGTGTATATTGAGATGTATTCAGTGTGATTTTTAAACCAAATTGTCTTCCTTTAGCCACAATATATACTGTAACCTGTAACAGCAAGTCTTGCTTCCCCAGACAGAAAGCCATTCTGAAACCCTCCCATATCACAGGTCAGAAAAGGTGGCTATTTTCCCCCCAAGACAATAACAGCACTAGTAATCCCACTTAATAAGAGCTTATTTAATTGTCTGTCGGCCTCTTAACTGCTAAGCACTTTGTGGGTCTCAGCTTTTTTCATAAAAGAACTTTTGTATTTAATACAAAGTTTGCTTTGAGACTTTTCAGCATACAATCTTTTTCCATAAACTTGTACAGTGCAAAAGACATTTTGAATACCATGATCGATGATGTCCCATGCTTCAAGGAAAACCAAACACTTCCCGCCTCGCTTGCAAAGTCCATTCCTCACGCTGACCCTTCCCCACAGTCATTTCGTGTCCGCCTGGCCCCTGCCCCTTCTCCAGGCCCAGAGAACTCTTCCACTACCAAGATGAGAGCCACAGGGAAAAGAGCCATAGTCAGCTGGGAGGGCCCGTGTCTGCACAGCTGTGGAAAAACCTGACAGCTTTAGGGTTCAAAGTCAGCCCATCCCACCTGGCAAAATCTTTCTCTAAGGAGGACCTTCCGTGCAAAAGAGCATCGCCTGAGTGTCGCTAAGAAGTCTCTCTGAATGTATCCAGCAGAGGAAACACCACCCTCGGATGTGCTTATTGGATTCTAGTATAAACACCACCAAAGCCAGCCTACTCGCTCCTCCGAGGAAGGAGAGACCGGCACGCAGGAAACATGGGGCAGCCCTGGAACATGGTAGTTTCTCTTGGAGTTTTCCTTTCTCACGTTTTTTCCCATCTTCCCCTTCTTTGTTCAATCACRTCTCTGTGACCTCATTCCATGATATCAGGATGGTCGTACTTGCTCACCAGACTCCCCTGTGCTCCTGGAGCCGGGATGCAAGGCAAATGGGAGGGGTGCTCTGAGCAGATCCCAGCTGGGGTGACAGGGATCCACGGAAGCCACCAGGGAGGCCCCACATGGGCGTCTGGTCTCCTCTCGTCAGGAATGATGGACAATCGCACACACAGACCCCTCACTCTCCAACTTGCACACATCCACACACGCACGCACACAGGAAATGGTTGGTTTGTCACAACTCACTGTAGTATACAAAGCTTGCACTCTGCGTCCTATATCTAGCAGCATGGGGTACGTTTGGCAGATCACCCCATTAGGGGGTAAATAATTTATGACCATTCATCTGTTTTTATGAATTTTTTTATCTAGACAATAATTGTAAATAAAGAACTCACCGTCTCTGTTCATTTAATACTATGCAATGGGTATGCTTTCAATTGCCGACTCTTCTGACTCCTACAGTGTGGTTCTGAGATGTGGTTTCAGGAAAAAAAGAAAAGAAAAAGAAACACCAATCAAGCAGAACATAGTAAATATATACTGTGTAAATTATGCTGTTCTAATTTGGACTACACACTCTGTTTCTGTCCTGTCCTGTAGACCCAGGCTCTAGGAGAAGGTAGGAGGGGTAGTTCTGAGATCTAAGCTCCCCAACTCAAAAGAGATGAGGGAAAGACAGAGACGTGTTCAGTGACTCCTGATGCTACAGGTTGACCTACCTTTGGAGGAGGGAAGGGAGGGCTCTTCCTGCAATATGGGGCTTTCTCTAACTCAGGAGCAGCCCCCAATGCTCCAGCAACCCTCACCAGGGCCCTGTGTCTCAACCCCAGCATAGAACTGGCAAGAGCGGGGGCACCCTGCTTCTGAGAGCACATTGCTCTTGAGCCAGGACTCTGAACCTTGTCACTCAAGAGCCCCTCTGCCCAACTGTGTTAAAATGGTGCGTCTATCCCTCCTGACGTCCTATGTAGTCTTGGGCCTATTTCTGCAATTTCTCTTCTATTCCCTCATCTGGATGTCTCCTCTGGCACCAGCCACACTGTTTTGCTTACTGTCACTTTGGAATGTTTTATTCTGTGGCAGGGTGAGTCTCCTTCACCCTACTTGAACAAAATCTCCTAGTTATTCTCTCATCTATTCTTCTGAGGTAATGTTAAAAATCTGCCAAGACCTCCATCTTCTGCCCTCTTCCCAGCCCAGATCCTGGGTCCTGTCACCCTATGTGCCATCCCTCTCCCCACATTGTAATTCCTGCTCCCCAGGGTCACTAAATACAGTGTGTCCTGTCAGAAGGGACAAAAGTGGAATCCTGAATATCGAAGGAAGCCTGATGTCCCTCCTGTCATTTCACCTGTTGCCCAGGCCTAGGAGTTGTGAGGAAGAATCCACTGAGCCCCCACCCAGCCTTAGCTTAGGAACCAAAGTCACTTCATGATCATGCAGAGGTGGACCCTCCATCTTCCGCCAATCATCAGAAGATAAAAAGGGGTTCTCCTAGACCCAGAGCKATGAGGGTGAGCTCGGAGAGAATGTGGGGCCCACGCTGTACTGTTCATGGGAGAAACGTTTGTTCATGTCTCCACTTCCTGAACTTGTTTTTGGTTATTTTATTTCAGGTGTTTTTGTTTTTTCAGAGAGTGGGGGGATCCCCTCTTATTTAATTCAGAGCTTCAGCGCCTGTGAGATACAGAAGTTTCTTGCCCGGATGTTCTCTGTGCCCTTCCTCCCCTCACCCCATTCCTGTTCTGCCTACCGGAGGCTGCCAACCTGGTGCATCTGACGAGCCTCCCCCTCAAATCTTTCCTGCAGCAACATCTGAACCCCACTTGAGAGGATCTGGCAGGGAAGGGCTGCTTCCTGAAGGCTTTAGGGTCTCCCAGAGCCAAGGCCATACTGGGACAACAGGAAACCCCAGGACTTTTCCAGGTTCCAAATCAAGCTCTCCTGATTTAAATGTAGAGATCCCACCACCCAAAAGGCAGGAGACGGAGCAGGGGGGGAAAGATCCCAGGCCCTGGGCAGCTGCCATCACCACCCCCTCCAAAAAAACAAGAGATTTGAGGCTTCTCGGGGCCACCCCTCAGCCCCTCAGTCTGTTTTRTAATGTCTGTGGTGCTCTCCCTCCCGAGCCGTTCCTCTCGGGGGTCGCCACACTTGCTAACTCTTGTGTGCACATCTTTTATAAYAGAGTAGTGAGGGACTGGTGCCGCCTCCAGCTTCCATAAGCTGCCCGGGCTCTGGGGGGGGGGGGGGCTCTGGGACAATCGGGGCTGGGAAGAGACTGTGCTCTTACTGTACACTCTTTATTTCTCTGTATCTCTGGCTTGTGCTCTTTGTAACTAATGGGATTTGTCTGCCTTTTCAACACTATACTGAGCAATAACAATAAATGCACACGTGGAAATGCAGGCATGCTTCCCATCACAAAGCCTTTTTCTGAAGGACAGCTGGGTCCCCACCCTCTGTGGGTTTAAATTTGGGGAAATCAAGCCCCTGGTTGGGAAGGACACTTTGCTCTCCCTCTACTAGGTCGCACCTTTTGACCACCTACCCAATGAAGGAGGCAAACTTAACGTGACCATCTCAGAGAGAATGGGGGGAAAGGCCTCCAGAGGATATAAAGAAACTCTGGGCCAAAGGGACTGGGAGGTGAAGGGCACAGGTTAGAGAAAGCTAGAATGACTTGGGGTCTGGGATTAACCAGAGGGAGGAGATGGGAAATACAGACATAGGATATAGGTGGCATCTTCCACTGGGGAGGGGGAAGACAGAGGGAGTCTGAACTTTGCCAAGCTCTGCTGAGCATCGGAAGAGAAGGAGAATATTCCCAGATTGAGAAACAATTCTCAATGTTGCTTCAAAAGCTGAGGTTTATACACACACAATCCCAGCTCTTCTCGGGTTGAACTGATGCTTAGAACAAGAACCACTGGCCCATCCTACTTCCAAGTAATTACATATCCAAGGTTCATTTATTTAACATCAGTTCTCAGAAGCGGCATTACAGGTTGAGCATCCCTAATCCAAAGATGTTTTGGAAAAAAACAAAGATGTTTTGGATGCTGATATAACATCATGAGTAAAAATTTCACACCACAAAACTTCACTTCATGCAAAAATTTATTAAAAATACTACATAAAAGTGTTTGTGTTTAGATTTGGGTCCCGTCCCCAAACCATCTCGTTATGAATATGTGAATTTTCCATATCCCAAAAAATCAAACATTTCTGGTCCCAAGCATTTCAGGTAAGAGATACTCAACCTGTATTATATTTCCTACTTTCCAGAGAMGGAAACAGCAGCTCAGAGAGGTGAATGAAAGATTTGCCTATATAATAAGCAAGAGGTGTGATACTGATACCTGTCCATCTTGATGCCAGGGTCAGCACCTAAAATTCTCTATAACAAAGTCTTTCAGTCCCACTCACAAATATCTTGTGAGTACAAATATGAGTAAAATACATACCCATTGTTTGTCCCAAATTTTCTGTTTCTTCAACCTCAATGTTTACACCAGGAAATTCCATCAATAACGACTACGCTGCTGCATTATATTTAAATTATATCTAATATGCCTCTATGCCAATTTCCCACTGGCTCAGAAAGAATTGACCTATCACCCAGAAGATCAGTGGTGCAACTACCCAACCAAGACTAGGGATCCCTTGAAGAACAGGAGACCAACAGGTCCCCCTCCGCTGTGTTCCCTGCTCTACCCTAAGAACCACTCCCTCTGGGCTGGGGTTGTAGATGCAGGAGCTTGGCAGAGTGTGTGCCCCGCCCATGTGAGGCACTGGGGCACTGGGTTCAATCCTCAGCACCACATAAAAATAAATAAATAAAATAAAGATATTGTGTCCATCTTTAACTAAAAAAAAAATATTTTAAAAAAAGAACCACCCCCTCATGCCCCCGCAATATTTCTTCATTGGAGAGAAATAAATCTCAGAAGCTGGGGTGGGGGTAGAAGACTGGCTTGCTTCCTGAGGCTTACTTAACAGGGAACTCCCCTGGCCTCCTCTCCAATGCTCCTTGACAGCTTGTGCCTATCAACGTCTTCCTGGGGACATCACTGAGCAGGACTCTTAGCCCCAGTTTCTACAGAGGAAACTGAAGGACTATGACTCCCTAAAGAAAGCAAGGCTCCCCTGTAAGCTGCTTGCCCCCTAGTACTTGAGTGGGCMCAGGCCTAGACCATGTGTGGCCCAGGCTCTGTCCTGCAGTGCGGAATTCTCCACGTGCTTGTGGAGCGATYCTTGGCTGCCCTCCCTTGGGGAAGCCAGGCATCTAGGAGGAGTTGGGGACACTGAGGGTTGGACTCCTGGACTCCAGACACAGGAGTTTGGCTGAGGTCCCTCCACGCCTGGGGGAATCTACCTGATAAGCCAGCCAGCCTCACAGATCGCAGGCTTTCCGTTTGCAAGGGGAAATTTGGAGTCTCTAAAGTCATAGGTCCTGGGGCTTAGGGACGGCAGGGTGGTCCTTAGGAAGGACCAAAAATGAAGAGCTAAGACCAGTCCAATCAACCCCCACAAAATTAATCATCTTCCAATATTCATCAAAAAGCCGGTCATACCCAGAACCGCCGAGGGGCCCGTGAAGCTGCCATTATTAATGCTTTCACTTCTAGGTCTCAGGAAAAGGGACGGCTAGGTCAGGATAGCTAACGCCCTAGAGCTTCCGAGTCCAACCGCCCTCCGCCCGGGTCGCCTAGGCAACCAGAACCCCGCCCCGTGGATCTCCCGCGTTCCGCCAGGATAAAGAGGAGGAGCCACAGGAGGGCGGGGCGCGGCCTGTGGAAGACGCCGGACCTCCGCGCAAGCCGAGCGTGTTGCTACCCGGAGGCTTCAGAGCGACGGGCCATTAGTCCTGCCCACACGGCGCCGGAAGTGAGACGCCCGGACGCGACGCCTCAGGCTGCCACGTCCGAGACCGGGAGTCGCTCTCGCAGCAGCTATGGTGAGTCGCTCTCGCCTCAGCTCAGCTGGGGTCGCGGAGCAGGGTTCGGACCACACCAAGGCTTTGGCCACGCTGAGGCTCAAAGCCCGGGCTGGGGCCGTTCAGCTCCCCCTCATTACTCGGAGGTTTGGGTGCTCTGTCCGCGTCCTTGTGGACCTTTCCGAGCGAGAGACCCGGACGAGGCCGCGGCACCTCCCGGGGCTCTGCGGGCCGCGCCGCTGCCCTGCCTTCCTCTTATCCCCGTCCTCTTCCTTCCGCCATTGAAAACCCCAAACGCCATATCGAGGCCTTAGAAACCCCAGGTGTTGCTCGTAATCTCCGCCCGCCGAGCCTCGTGAAGGTGTCGTCACCCTGCAGACGAGAAAAGCTTTCGCTGAGAGGTAAAGCCTCTTGCAGAGCTACCTGGTCAGGGGCAGAGCTGAGTTCTCGAACCTTCCTAACCGTTCCATTCTGCCGCCTACCACCTCTAACAGCTCAATTGTGACCAGTTGAGCACAGCGTCCCCAGGTATGAGGGGCGGTTCAGGAAAGACCAACTGAGTGAGGCCGCCGTTGTTTGAAATTTCTGTGGTGTCTACCGCTTACTGTTCAGTTCAATGAGCACGAATGAACTAATGAATGGAAGTCTGCAGACTGAGTTTGGTACCCTGTGGTAAATGCATGCTCTTAGGAAAGTGGATATGCCCGAGCTGCAGGTTTGAGGGAGCCTTCGTGAACCCAGGAATGAGAGCCCTGGGATTAGTTCTTGTTCTGCAGGGAGCTACTCTGCTGCTCTTTTGGCTTCTGGTTCTTAGGCTTAATAAAGTTGGAAGCACTTATTCTCAGTGTTCATCTCCTTCTAAATTACTTGTGATTCTGAAAAGATGAATTGGTTTTGAGTGCTGCTTCTTACTGTTTAACAGTGATAATAACAGATTATTATATTAATTATATTATATTCAGGTTATTATTCTTTATCCACCAAGATAAAGAGGAGGAGATATTGATGAGGTGATATTGCATTCTGCTTGGGAGAAAAAAAGGCTTTAAAACACACTTGTTTACAAGCATGGTTCGCCAATCTTGGCTGGTGGATGAACGTGGTTAGAAATGAATGCTGCTTCTAAAGTCCTTTAATAATTCAGTACGAGACTATCTGTCAGCAAACTTTCTTCCTGACTCACTCTCAGCCATTGGATTTAGGGAATTCGGTGCAACAACTATTTTATGTTCTCAGTGGACCAGAGTCTAGTGGATTGTGGATTGTGGCTGGGAGTTGGTAGATTAGGGGATGACTCTTTCCCCAGCTCTGAGACTTTGACAGGTGTTTCTTCTTCTCTGGGCTTCTTCAGTGCCTTAGTGTGTCAGGTGACTGTAATTGACTCTGCACGTGGTACCTCCCAGGGCACATGTGAAAGCACTTTGTATCCTGACAGTTCAACGCACAGGAGACTCCTTTTCCTTTCCTGCATTTGAGGACCCTGGGAGCCCACTTTTGCAGGTGTTAGAATTTTATGAGAGAACTGAAGCTTACTCAGCATGCGCCTCTGACCTGCTTTGCTACCATCCTCTCCCGTGATGCATCTTTCTGAAAAGTGAAGTCAGATTTTATACTTGCGGGGTTTGTGCTAGAAAGTATGAACTGGGTGAAATAATTAAGAAATGTCAGTACCAGCCAGTCGTGGTGGCACGTGCTTATAATCCTAGCAATTGGGGAGGCCAAGACAGGATGACAAGTTCAAGGCTAGTCTGGGCAACTTAGTCCTTGTCTCAAAATAAATAAAATCAATAAAAAGGTTAGGGGTATGGCTCAGTGGTAAAACATCCCTGGGTTCAATCCCTAGTATCAAAAGGAAAGAAATGTCAGTTCCAAACTGAAATCTTTTCAAGTCTCCTTTTCTATCCAGTGAATTAAGAGAATAATGGTTGAGCAAAGAAAAAGTAGTCAATTTTTGTTCATGTATTCATTCAGCAAATAGTCACCGAGTTCCTTGTGTTTGCAATAGATGATTTGAAGGGTTTCAAAACTGCATGTGACTAAGTGCAGGGTTCCAGGGAGCTCCCCTTCTAGTGGGGAGAAGAAACAGCACAAAGTGTTGTAGGTGTGCGGGGCTATTATACAAGAGTCCAGCCAGTCAAGGATTTGAGAATCTTTAATGGGGGGGCTCGTTTGAGCTGCATCTCACAGAATGAGGAGGTTGATGCCGTAACACCTGTGTCCCAGCCCTTCAAACTATTGAACCTGGATGCCACTAGGTGTGAGAGTCCATCACAAGTGGTAGACCAGGGAGCTGACTCAGGAGAAGTTTGAATCAAGTCTCCAAGTCATAGATGTTAATCGTGTTATGCATAAAGTGCCTGGGACGTCAGAGGCTGCCATCCAAGAAGGGAACATGGACTCTAACTCCCTCCAGGCTCCACCTCACCTTCAGAGGCAGACCTTGTCATTCCACAGTTCACATCGAGCTCT